CGTCAATTTGATCAGCGCCGAGACACACGAGCGGAGAACAAACGTACGAGAGTTGACTTCTGCCAAACGAGCGAAAACTCTGGCGTCGTTTTTCATCAAATTTTGAGCAAGTTAATTTCGATAGGAGCACGTCAAATCGGATCACAGTTCCGTTGGTAGATAAATGAAAGCGAGCATTTGAACTAGTATTTTCAATTCTCATCTCTTCTGGGCCGGCATCAAGTACAGTAGCTAACCCTGATTCATTTTTTCTGAATCTATTAAAAACTTTGCCCACTGAATAACCTAAAAATACTATGATTTAATTCCCCTTACATTGTCAGGCAAACAGGCAACGAGAATAAAGAAAATCTTCAACTACAGTTGAACTGTAACGGTGTTAAGTATGGTGCACATTAACTCTCTTGTCGGAGGCGCGGTGGCCTCATGGTTAGTACGCTTATCCAAGGATCGAGCGGTCCGGGTTCGAACCCTGGCCTGGGACATGGCGTTGTGTTCTTGTGTTCTCACAGTGCCTCTCTCCCTCCACCCAAGTTTATCAGTAATTATTGGGTACAGGCGAACTTTATACTGGGGGGAACCAAGAGAAAATGAGGGCACATTTTCTCTTGGGGGAACCCTGTGATCCTAGTTAGTAGAGGGGACTAGTCGCTTCATGCTACAGAAAGCGGGATAAGCTCTGGCCTGATGGGCCACTTGGCTCATATGCAGACTTTACCTTCCTACATTAACTCTCTCTTGAGCGCAAATGAACCATTTTTGTGCAGATTAGTAATAGTTTGTTTTCTGCGAACTCTCTTGCTTAAACACCAGGGGCGTTCATTTAAAACTCTACGTTGTAAACCCAAATACGGTATCTAGCGTAATTAAGAACAGTCTTTATTTTAACCTGTTCCGTGTATTTATCGAAAGTTTTCACGTAGTCTCTCAATTGTAGCTTTGCTTATTAAACACTTTAGCACTTTAGCACAAGCGACACCGTAGAGAGCCATGCAGTTTGTAAAAGGCCCTGCTGGAAAACGAGAAAATAGAACTAGCATTGATTTTTTTTTTTCCAAAATTGTTTCTTTGGTGCGCAAACGAGAGAATATTTGAATCGGTACCAAAAGTTTTCTTCTTCATTGTTTCTTGGTTTCAAAACTGCGACGTAGAAATTTGAAAACGCAGCTTTATTTCTGCGCTTTGGCTTAACGTCCACATCAGCTCGTCATGAAAACGGAGCTTTTCGAAAACGCTCTTCAAACTGGAGGAATTTGAAAACGCCGGCTTTGCGTTTTACAGGTGTGGACGGAAAACATTTTGAAAACGAAGCTTTTCGAAAACGATCGCTTCATGATANGAGAATAAAGAAAATCTTCAACTACAGTTGAACTGTAACGGTGTTAAGTATGGTGCACATTAACTCTCTTATCTGGGAGGCGCTGTGGCCTCATAGTTACTACGCTTATCCCCGGATCGTACGGTCTGGGTTCGAGCCCTGGCCGGGGACATTGCGTTGTGTTCTTGGGCAAGAAACTTTGCTCTCACAGTGCTTCTCTCTATCCGAGTGTTTCAATAATTATTGGGTACCAGCGAACTTTATACTGGGGGTAACCCACTGATACACTAGTATCCCATCCAGGTGGGCATAGAAATACTCCTAGTCGCTTCATCCTACAGAAGGCGGGATAGGCTCTGGCCTGATGGGCCACTTGGCTCATATGCAAACTTTACCTTCCTAGATTAACTCTCTCTTGAGCGCAAATGAACCATTTTTTCGCAGATTAATAATAGTTTGTTAACTGCGAACTCTCTCGCTTAAACACCGGGAGCTACGTTGTAAACCCAAACACGGTATCTAGCGTAATTAAGAAAAAGTCGTTATTTTAACCTGTTGTATTTATTGAAAGTTTTCACATAGGACTCTCAATTGTAGCTTTGCTTATTAAACACTTTAGCACGAGCGACACCGTAGAGAGCCATGCAGTTTGTAAAAGGCCCTGCTGTAAAACGAGAAAATAGAACTAGCATTGATTTTTTTTTTTCCAAAATTGTTTCTTTGGTGCGCAAACGAGAGAATATTTGAATCGGAACCAAAAGTTTTCTTTATCATTGTTTTTTGGTTTCAAAACTGCGACGGAGAAATTTGAAAACGCAGCTTTATTTCTACGGTTTGGCTTAGCGTCCACACCAGCCCGTCACGAAAACAGAGCTTTTCGAAAACGCTCTTCAAACTGGAGGAATTTGAAAACGCCGGCTTTGCGTTTTACAGGTGTGGACGGAAAACATTTTGAAAACGAAGCTTTTCGAAAACGATCGCTTCATGATAATCATGTGACTTCAATTCCCTACCCGAGTTTTCCTCATACACAATTTAAATTCAAAATGACCGGTGATTGTTGCGTTTTCAAATTTCTCCGGCGTAGTGTGGAGGAGACCTGAGATTCGTTTCCGCAAGTTAGAAAGTTAAGTTTGGTGTGCGCGCATCTGGCTAACACAATTCAGCAGCTGAAACTCTGTTTTGGCAGTGCCTTTAAGTGCTTTCTTGCATGCGGCGGTCGTAACACTGGTAAACTGTACATTGTACTTGAATTGAATCCTGACAAAGTAACGTGCATACCCGCGTATCAGAAAACAGAATTAACTTTTTCTTCGTTCGACAAACACCTGCATTCAATGCTAAAGCCCCCTCCACACTACGCCGGAGGAATTTCAAAACGGAAGTTTAACTTTGAAAATCCATGAAATGTTTTCTGTCCACACTACGCCGGGGGAATTTAAAAACGCAACAATCGCCCGTCATTTTGGATTTGTGTATGAGGAAA